CCAAAATTAAAGAAGGAACGGTTTATTTGGCCCACAGTTTGTTGACGTTTTAGTCCATAGTTGGCTGGCTCCAAGACAGGCAGCTCCAAGACATGGCAGTCGGGCACCACAGAGGAGAAATAAGCCATGGCAAAGCAGGGCAGACAAGGTACCCAGCAGTGAAGTAGAAACCACCAAGCAACAACAGCAACTTCTTTCTGTCCCTTTTCTATTCTGTCTAGACTACCTGACTTTAAGGCAGATGCCAAACCCATCAGTACACTAATTTAGTAATCACACACCCATCATCCTAGTGCCTTTAATCCTAGCATTGTATCATGAATCAATCCCAGAATCGCACAGATCCAGCCCCCTCTAAAGAACTATATGAGGCTTTGTAGGGGGCATCTAAACAGGCATAATAAAGGGCAAGACAAGGCAACGATGGGAACTGCTTGAAATTTTATAACTGGAAACTATCTCCCCACCCTATGAACTATGACTTCCAATAGGGAAAGCAGCTCCTGCCAAACTGCAGTCCACATGCAGGCATCCCTGACCTCTCTCTGCTAGCTCCCTGAGCTCCCTCCTGATCTTGTTAGATCCAGATGATGTGGACTGCAAGAGTCAGTTTCCTGGGGAACAGAAGTGCCCCCAACAGTGGGCAGACAGTCAATCTGGAGAATCTGTCTGAGAATGACCTGTGCAAATGATTAGTCTCAGGTGGAAGTAAATATATCAGAATAGAGAGTTGGGAGGAGGTATATAGTGTGAAACATTCTAGAAGGATGCATCTTCCCCTTCCAGAAAAGATTAGCACTGATCACAATAAAGAAGCCTATGAGAGGAGAATGTTAAATAAGCTAGCTGACTGAGAAGATTATTCACACATTCGTTCATTCATCAATCATCAAAGGGTTATTTGCACTTCTAGACATCAAACATGCAAACACAGGTTTGGTTTTTCTGTACATTTGAAAATTTCCATAAATAAAATGTTGAAAGAAACAGATTATAGAGGGTCACTCACTAGCTTCAAGAATCTAATCATCTGGACCAGCAAGGATTCAGCTAACCTGAACCCAGGGGAGAGTTAGAAGACAGGTAAGTAGAATAAAGATTTCCTGAAAACAATATTGAGTGAGTATGCAAGACTGCTGCTGGGAAAAGAACTGGTAGAAGGAGAGACATCTAACGTTCAAGGCTGTAGGGGCAGCCTACAGCCTTTTCTTTTAAAGATCTTTCAATCATCAGAGGAAAGGGTGCACTGGTAAAGCTTAAAAACAAACCTGAGAAGTGAAATTACAGAAGCATATGCAGAGACAAAGGTAAGTGACAGACATTTGTTTCACCTGTAGTGCAGGTATCCTGGGGCAGTGGAGGACGTTTAGGGGAAACTGAAGAAAACACAGAGACGGCCTGCGAGAGTGAAGATTTATTAAGATATTAACAGGAACAAGTGGGTTTAATTGAGACTTAACAGCAGAAGATCATAGAGTCTAGGGATAACAGGCCGGACAGGACAGTTGTTAGAAGGTACCCATATCCAGTGCAGTGGGCTGGACTAGTTAGGGCCAACAAGGTCCTAAAGTTGGCAAGATAGGGAAATGCCAGAGAGAACGCCAAGTGTCCAGTGGCAGAAGTCTGGACAGCTCTGGCCTCTGTTACTGCAGGAAAGGGGGTTAATAGAGGAAATGACAAAGAGGTGGCATTAGTAACTTGTTTTGCTCTGTTGTATGACTAGCCATCCAAAGAAGAGCTGAGTTAGCACACAGGCAGGAAAGCAGTTTCCACAGATAACACTGGTTTGCTTGGTTCCCAGTGTCTCCAGATACTACTTATCTGGAGTCCTCAGGAAGAATGAACAGGACTCAGACTGAATGGCAGTGTTGTGTGAGGGAGAAGAGATGCTCTTCCTGTTTTGCCTCTGTGACACCACACCCTTTCAGCTAACACCCCTGTCCCACCTGCTGCTTTCTTTTGGCAGCAGTGCCCCTACCTGCTTGAATGAATGCAGTTTCTGTGGACTTCCACACATCAGTTCTTTGTTTCCATGGTCAAAAGAATAGGTACACGACCAAGCCCGCCCAACCAATGGTACCTGCCTGGGAAATCCCGGAACCGGCAGCTGGATCTCTTCTTTGGCCTAATCCTTTTTAAAGGCCCTCTCTCTACTTTTCTCCTGTAGGCTCTGTATGCTACCCAAATTCTTATTAAAAAGTGTTTTGGTTTTTTATTTTCTTCAGTAAGCTACAATTATTTTCTACTGTTTGCTAACAGAAAACTTCAATAAATTACTGTGGCCACATGAATGAGAGCATTTCATACAGAGAGAGACAAAACACGTAGAGGAGAAAGTTTGAGGTGGGCTTTCTGAGGAGGGTAGTTTGCTCTTGAGCAGCCTATTGCAAAAGGAAAGAGAAAAATCTAAAAGTTGATTGAGGAGGCGCTTCTGGAACTCTGAAAATCACACCACAGAGTACAAAGTTATCTTTGGCACATAGACACAGAAAGTTCTACTCGGCAGCCTGACCTCTTAAGGACTTAACCAGACTTCTCCAGGGAGGCTAATTCTTCCATGAGGAGGCTGACACATTCTGAAGATGCCCCAGAATCAAGGGGGGGGGGGAGGACCAAGCCTCATGCCCAGCTCTGGGAGTCCTGGGTCCTGGCTCTAGATTTCTCACTAATTAGCTGAATGACCTTGTGCAAATGCCCACCTTGCTCTGAAGCTTTGTTTTATTATTAATAAAATATAAGAGTTGAATTATATTTGAGGTTCTCAAAGTATATTCCAAGCAAATTTTAAAGTTACATGAAAAGGGTCAGATATATGGGGAAACTGGTTTCAGGAAACTTTAAGCAGGTTTCCTTATTGCAGGATATCTCAGGGCCTTCAACATGCTCATCTGTGATACAAATCTCCCAGAAAAGGGAAAGTGACCAGCACTTTTATCTTTTCCCAAAGGAACTTTTTAACCCCGCCCCCACCATGAAGAAATATGTGGAACCAGTAGTCATCAGAAGGACTTGTAGAAATGGTGGATTAGGTGACTTCCAAGGCTGCCCACACAGTGCATGATTCTGAGTTCCCAGGGGTTCTGTGCTTGTCCTCTCTGTCCCACTTGCCTCTTCCTTAAGATGACCGACTCTGAAGGAGCCCTGCGGTGTTTTAAGGGGCTCTCCCAGGAAACAGCACATTTGAGTGCTTACGAAGTCACTTAAAGGTCTACTCTGGCTCATGAAATCCTCCTGCAGCTTAAATGAAAAACAGCCCCCCACCGCGCTCAGAGCACAGATCCAGGCCCCGCCTCAAGGGATTGCAAAACATACTCTAGCTTGCATTCATTTGGGAAAACAAAGAAAACTCCCCTCTTTTCTGCTCCAGACAGTCTGAGATGCTTTCGTTCCCTTGGGCCCTTGCCCGGTTCTCTCATCTGCATCAGTCCTGGTACTAAATTGGTTCAAGGCTTGGAGGAAAGCTTCAGAGGAAAGAGGGAAAAAGATGTTTAGAGTTCTTCAATGCTGAAGTCACCCGGAGTACCAGCGCCGAGTCCCACTCTGGCCACGAGAGGGCGATGACAACAGCATCTGGGCAGAAAGCTGTACCCAAAATAACAGCAGTAAACTACACCTAAGGTGTTTAAGGAGGAAGCAGGGGCTGGGGCAGGAGAATGTGTGTGAAAGTGTGTCTGCACATTTAGGGGCCTGGAATGAAGACTTTGAAAACCTGAGAAATATAATAAATTAAATCTGCACCTCTACATATAGTGCCAGGTTGTAGTCAAGTAGTTAGATAAAAGGTTTCCTGAAGGAAAATGAGGATGAAGGAATCAGACTAGCATTCTCTGCAAAGGAAAAGAAAGGTATGCTCAGGATCATAGGTGTGTGCAGGTGGGTAGGCGTGTGAACATGCACATGCACATGTGACTGTGACTGCGTCCATGAGTGTGTGTGAAAGTGTGTAGGCTGTGGGTGTGGGCATGAATGCGTGTGTAGACACGGATGTGCACAGGGCTCATTCAGACTTTCCTGGTGTGAGATCTCAAGAAATTCTGGGCAATACTTCCCCTAGTTTCTGCAATTCCTTTCAAACAAATAAACACATTCCTACAAGTATTTATGGAGCCTCTGATGCATCTCTCCCGACAGGCATCTGGAAAAGCTCAGACCTGGGCAATTTAGAGCCAATGGGCACGACACTGGAGAACGAAGGGAAGTTGGGGGCAGCAGGGATGGATGTCTGGCAGAACACTTTGCCTCCTTTGATGCTCCTAGCGACTGTGGGAAGTGGGTCCAGAAAGGGCTGTCTTTCCTTGCTTTGAGGAAGCAAAGGCTCAGAGGTGACAAGATTCGCCCAGCGTCACCAGACACAAAGCAGATGTTCGAGGGATTTGACATGGCGTTGTCAATCCATGGCCAAGTCCTGTCATTACTCTCAGCAGCATATGAGGCACTGGGTCTTCGCAAAACAGGACAAGCCTTCTCCAGGTAGGATTTTCCAGCAGTGACCTTGAAGACATGCACAACTTTTAGTGACGCGTGTGACTGTGAATTCAGTGCAGTGGTGTCAACAAGTGTTCCAGGAAGCAGCTGTTGGTCATTGCCACGACTGCTAGACCGGACAGGGACGAGGCTTCTGGGCATCAAAACGCTGAAGTTAGGCTTCCTTAGAGCTGAAATAAGGGTTATTTAGACACTTTTGGGGGTTCTTGTTGGAACTGTCTAGTCCAGTGTTAAAATAATTAAAAAATAAAAGTGTCACAAAGTTTTTCAATCCTTGTCTCCTGAAAGAGAGCCACAGTCAGTGTTTTTTTCCGGGGCCCTGATGGGAACCGCTTTCCTTCCCTGGTTCCTTTCCTCTAGCTCCTTTACTGCCTCCTCCCTCCTAGCTCTCGGTAGCTCCAGCAAAGTTCCCAACTTAGTCGACATGACGCGCGGCGCAGCCAATGGGAGGCTGAGCTGGCGTTTTTGGGGGGCGGGAGGGGTGGGCCCCACGTCTCGGGTGTCTGCCCTGCTCAGTGAATGGAGAGAGCGAGCGCCGGCCAGCTCACCCGGCCGCCCCTGCCCCAGGCGCCGCCGCTGTGCTCCGGAGCCCAGCCCCAAGCCGGACCTACCCGGGCGGCGCGCCCCGCTGCCCTCGACCCAGGTCCCCAACCCGGCCCGCAACCCGGGCGGCGGGCCAGCGGGACCAGGGGGCGCTCGGCACCTGGGCACTCTGAGCGATGCGCAGCGGGGCAGCTCCAGCCCCGCCGATGGAGCAGCTGCCTCCGCCGCCGCCGCCCGGCGCGCCCTGCTCCGCCCGCGCCCCGTGCGCCTGAGCGCCGAGCTCGCCCCTCCTCCGCGCCAACTCCGCCGCCCGTTCCCCAGGCCGCCCGCGCTCCCCGCGTGTCTCCCGGGCTCCACGCGCCTCGCCCCGCCGAGGCAGCCTCCTCCGGACGCGGGGCCCTGCACACCATGGCCCCCGGGCGGACAGCGGCCGGCGCCGCCGTGCGCACTCGCCTGGCGCTGGCCTTGACGCTAGCGAGCGTCCTGAGCGGGCCCCCAGCCGCCGCCTGCCCCACCAAGTGTACCTGCTCCGCCGCCAGCGTGGACTGCCACGGGCTGGGCCTCCGAGCCGTTCCCCGGGGCATCCCCCGCAACGCCGAGCGCCTGTGAGTACCCCCGGCTCGCCCCACGCGGGCCACCCACCTGGGTCCTTCCGAGGGGCCCTTGGTCGCCGGATCCTTCCTCTCCTCTCCGTGGCCCTGGATGCGACCTCTGTGCTCACTCACTCCCCAATCAGACCCCCGTTCTCTAAGTTGGGGCGTTGTTCTTTGGGCAGGTGTGGAGAGAGACGTCTCCAAGCCCCGTAGTGAGCCAAGAGCAGTGCCTTTGGGGGCGCGGACTCCAGATGCAGGGCCCTCTGACAGCTTCCTAGGAGAAGCTGGCTGATGGAGAGGGGAGGGGAGATCCCCAACCCTGGAGGTCTTGGGGTGGGCGTGAGAGGTCTGCGCTCACAAAGGGAGGGGGTGGCTAGAAGGTGAGGGTGACAGGCGTGGAGTGTGTGGCAGGGAGATGGGAGAGAGGGCCCTAAGACTTGACCGCCTTGGAGATCAAAATGGGCCAGCTGCTCTGGCTGCGCTTGCAAGGAAAGTTGAAAGTGTGTATGAAGGTCTAACTTCTGAGAGAACCGGACGAATTTGGAGTGGGTGCTTGCAAAACCCGCCCCGCCTGGAGCGCAGCCTCGGTGATGCCAAGTTGCAGCCCGGGTGAATTTTTTATGGCTCGGTTATAAATGCCTCCCCAAACGGGCTGGAGAATGGAAATGCTGACAGCCCTTTAAATGAGACCTAGCGCTATAATCTTACAAACCGCACTCAGCCTCCGATCCTGGGCTTGGCAGAGAGTGGAGAGGCTCTTGGAGAGAGGGGTGGGTTGACCCTCATTTTAACCCCAATTGTGCAACCAAATATTTACTTTTCATATGTCAACGTTTTGGAAACATTTATCATTTTGATCCTCAGACCAAATTCAAAACCGGGGCTCTGGGGTGGGCTTGTTGTAGCCCACAGGTGGGGGCAGGGTGCGGAAGGAGGCCGAACTGGTGGAGGGGGTAGGAGCCCTCCTGGAACCCAGGGGAGGCAGGAGTGAGGGAGTGTTTGCTCTAGGCTGAGAGGCACCCTTGGAGGCTTGGGCCCTCTCTTCCCCTTCCCGGGCCTGTGGGGGTGGGTTCCCCTTCTGCGTTTTGACCTCAGGCTGGAGGATAGTAGTGGTGAGATGAAGGGTCCCTAGAGTGCTGGTTCCTGTTAGTTATCTCCCAATCCCCTCACCTCCTCTTCCACCTATGTTCTGTGTCTGTCTGAGCAGCAGCTCCATAGAAATCCCTACCATACGCCTGCTACTTTCTTTTGGCTCAAAACTTTTTTTTTTTTTTTTTTAAGTTTTCAAGTGCAACCATTGATTGTTCTTTTGGGTTGAGCCACACCCCCAGCAGAGATTAGAGCTCAGTCTTCCTTAACACATACAGAGAATCAGGCCCAAGGAAACATTGCAAGCTGATGGTGATAAAAGAGCGGCATCCAGATTTCCATGCCTCAATTCAGACATTATGCTAGACCATTTCAGTGAAAAGCCCCCTTTTAGTGGTATTTTTAGATACTTATAAACAAAGTGCCCCTGCTCCTTACACCAGGGCTGGCTGCATGAATTAGTAAAATAATAGCATAGCTAATGTTTAATAACTGTTTCTCCTGCCTTGGTCTGAATCTATGTGTTATCTCCTTAAGTTTCTACCCAGCCTTATTAGTTACGTGGATAAGTGCTTATTACTCTGTGTTACAGTTAAGCCACCTTGTTGTGTATTGAAGGTTAAGTGCTTGAATCCAAGCCTGCCTGACTTCTAAACCCACACCCCTTACCACTCTGCTGACTCCTTAGAACCAGGGCCAGTTTGGGCCACAATCTATAAACAGACCATTCTGGGAGTGTTCCTGTTGGGCTTGGGTCTTAGCAGAGGCCGCTGTCCCCACTGCTTTGGGTGTTCCCTATAAACATTCAGCTCACTTTTGACATGCCCTTTGTGGCTGGGTCTTGAGACTGCGCTTTGCTCATCTTGAAATCAAGTCATATTTTTGGGAAATGCAGGAAAATGGGCCCCTCTTCTCCTGGAGACTTCGTGTTTTCCAAAGCTACAGGCAAGGCGTATATCTAGCGTGCCACCTGGCCACCTTGCCATAAGGCTCAGGCAGCTCAAGGCAGACCATCTGCTCCACAGCTGGGGAAACTAGGTGGAGAATGGACTTCTGGACATTCCCAAGGGCCACCTGCTGCAAGCATGGTCACTGACAAGGAGTAGGAGCTGCTTTTGAAATATGTGCATCCCACCAGGCTTCATTTGGTCACTGGTGACACTGGTTTAGGTACATGGGGGCTATGGGATGCCAAGGGTGGCCTCCCCTCTAGTCTTCTTCCTTTCTTCCTGGGGGTGGGTGGCAGCCTTTAGGAGTCAGATGGGTCAGGTTCACCAAAGGATTTAAGGGTATCTCAACAACGTTCTTGACTGCCCCTTACCCACTCTCAGTGAACTCAGCCTGAACATTTCAGTTCTGCACACTGTTGAGGGACTTCTGGGCTATGCTGAGGATTTCTTCAGGGAAGCACTGCTCATTCATTCCTCCCTTCATACATTCAACAAATATTACTCGGGCTCTACTTCTTTCCAATAGCTGCACAGAAAATCATTCCATATACAGAGAGAAAACAACACTTCAACTTGAAGAACGTAATCAAAGCGGGAAGGAGGAAACTTCCTTTGATGAGTATTTTAAATTTCTGAGGGATCATTTTGACATGGGCACCAATTTATCAGCATAGCCATTGAATTCTCAGGACCTTCTAAAAACCCAGTGTTTCAAACACAGATGTTGAAATTGTGTTTCGAAACAAAGAAAAAGCATTTTCTCCATTCTGTATTCCTGCTACTCGGCCTACAAAACAGCCTTTTATGAAAGAAGATGTGTATTTGCTGTGTACGTGCTTGGATCTGTGTGTGTGTGGTTGTTTTCCTAGGTGCTTTTGACTTCAGAAACCTCATGATATGACATGAAGGACAGCTTGAGTGGGGATAATGTGGTCCCCATTTGGATTTAGCTGCAGGCCTGGAATGTGGTATCAGCATTGGGGGTCTGTGTTCTGAGTTCTTTACTAAGGTGTCAGTTCAGCATACCCAGAAAAAGAAGCTCTGTGGCTTTTGTAAACTACTGACTTTTTCCCTCCTCAGGGAGGAGGCAACACCCACAAGAAAGCTAAATAAACAGAGAGGAGAGTTCAGTGTCATTCGTTATCCATGCAGCAATGATAGAGGCTCTTGGAGAGGAGAGGAAGTGAATGTTGGTGCCTGAAACAAAACATTTACCATGGAGCACAGAGTAAACAGATGTTGCCTTTACCCTCTGAGTACAAAAGGAGCCCACAGATGTAATTCTTTTCCAACCACAGTCTCAGCCTGGAAAAAGAGGCAGGAGATGAAAATGAACCCTCACGCGGCGTCTTCTCCCTGCGATGCCGGAGGCAGACACCCGCGGCGAGGTGGTGGCCTGCACAGTGGAGTAGGGGCAAGAGTGGACATCTTTGGTTTTTCACTTGGCTCCAGAACATGCTGGAGACTGCTGTATTTAAATAAACATTTCCTGTTTGTGAAGGAAAGCGGGCGAGAGGCTGAAACGTGAGAATGTGGTAACTTAATTTTCTCCGTCACTCCAGATGACGGCAAGCTTTGCCGGTGGTTGGGTCCAATAAAAACCGACACCGTGTCATAGGCTTTCTCTCCCTTGACCACAAAGGTCCCAAGGTCAAGTGGGAGACTTTCCAAGATGCTCAGCAGCCTGGCTCTGCATTCTGGTACTCCCAAGCCTCGGGGCCAGCTCAGAGGACCAGGGGCAAGCTGGCGAATGGGGGGATCTTCAGGGAAGACAGTGCTTTTCTGGATTGCCTAATGAGCAGTGGACTGTACTGCCTTCAGGGTGCTGTGAAACTCTGAACAGACCGCTGTCCTTCTCTGAGCCTGATTTTCCTGAAATTAGGATTCCAGCAGTATCTTAGTGGTTTTCCATGTATTAGCTGTAGTCCACTGGTGGACTGTCAGGGCCCTCTTCCTCAGTGCCCCAAATAGCATCTGACATTTAGTAAGTTTTCAGCTAATATGTGTTCAGTAAAAGACTAATAAACCTCAAAAGTACAAATGTTTCTTCCATTTTCACAAGGGAAAGTTGAGCAATCACAGATTTGCATTTTGATGGATGGCTAAGGGCTATTTAGCAGTAATCTATTACATGAGATATTAAGGTTATCTAAAATGTTGTATTTCCATGAACTGAAATTGTTGCCTTACAAGAATTGCCCAAGACTCCTAGTGAGTGATCCACTCTGCAGTCTGGTTGCCAGATGTTGCTTAGCAACCTTGCAAAACTCCTACTGTGCACATGCTCATGAAAAGAGCTAGCAATCCTGAACACTTAAACCATAGGACTTTCTAATCAGAAACTCATCAGCATCATCCTGAGCTCTCGGTGGTTTTTGATTGCTTCTCTTCTTGTATTAATTGATATGTATTTGTAGGATCATTATTGAGTTTTGCTTTTGCCAATCATCTGGGATTTTTATTATTTCTGCTTTTTTTTCTTTTGCCACTTCTGTTGCCTTCCAACCCTAAAGTAAAAATAAAGCATGGGTTTGGATCTGTGGACTCACTTTTCTTGACTATGTGTATGAGGAACACAGGGTTTCACAGTTCTATGCATCAGATTTTGGCACAAGTTAAAGAGACAGCTTTGGGTTTTAATTCACCTCCATTACATCCTTGCTGTTCCATCCTGGGTGCATTCTTCCATTTCCCCAGACTGCAGTGTCTTTCATTGTGTGGTACCTCATTTCCACACCTGTAATGTAAGGATGAGAATTGTATGAGGATGCTATAAATGTAGCCCAAGGCAGTCTTGTAATGCGCTCTGCAGGGCACCTATCTCGGTGTTCACTCATTATCATTGCTGTGACTGTTTATCTGACTACAATTTATGCAGCTGTAAGGTATGTACAATAAGCATTCCTATTTGGGAGGATTAAATGTATGGTAAGTACTTAACAGTGTCCAGCACATAGGAGTCCCCGCAAAACG